CCCTTCTTCTCACTTGTGGAGAATCAGCCCAAAGTTGCACCAGTGTGGCCACATAAGCGCTCCAGCCTCGTCCTCTCTCCTTGGTTCTTCCCTACTCACCACCACCCCAACCAACAAGAAAAGAAAACCGAGGTCCCGCCCCACATGTATTGCCTGCCCTAGTATTTGACAGAGAAGGAGGCGGTAATGCTCAGTGTGACCTCCGCGCCAAGACAGTCCCCCCACACCCTGAGTTGGCACCTTCAGCTCCTGCTGTTCCTTTGCTACCGGGTCTGGGGTTTCACCATTCTGGGGAGGGAACAGCGGCCTTCTCTGTGCCTGAGGGCCCCCTGTCATGGTGGCTCAGGGCCAGGCCAGGGAGTGAACACTCATGCTGCAGCTATGGGGAAGGACTTATCATTTCATCTGGAAGCACTGACCTGCTTCTCCACGTTTTCCTTTAACTCTCTGGTCACAGCAAAATTCCTGCGCATAAGGACACAACCCCCTTGAGGTTTCTTATTTAGCAGCCAAATTGCTTTCCAAGTGAGTTATTTTATTCTAAAAATCCTACGTTATACTCAGTTTTAGCATTGAGTATCATTATTTCTTTTCTTTTTATTGAGACAGGGTCTTAGTCTGTCACCCAGGCTAGAGCACAATGGGGCAATCTTGACTCACTGCAGCCTCAGCCTCCCCCAGTTCAAGTGATCCTCCTACCTCAGCTTCCTGAGTAGCTGGGAATACAGCGCCACCATGCCTGGCTAATTTTATATGTATATATATTGGTAGAGATGGGGTTTTGCCATATTGCTTAGGCTGGTCTCAAACTCCTGGGCTCAAGTGATCCTCCCACCTCAGCCTCCCAAAGTGTTGGGATTATAGGCATGAACCACCATGCCTGGCCAAGTATCATGACTTCCAAAAGAAACTAGCATTGAGGCCAGGTGCAGTGGCTCACCCCTGTAATTCCATTACTTTGGGAGTCTGAGATGGGAGGATTGCTTGAGCCCAGACATTCAAGAGCACCCTGGGCAACATAGGGAAACCTCATCTCTAGAAAAAAAAAATATAAAAACTTAGCTGGGCATGACAGGGCATTCCTATGGGCCCAGCTGCTGGGGAGGCTGAGGTGGGAGGATCACTTTAGCCCTGGACTTTGAGGCTTCAGTGAGCTACGATTGCACCACTGCACTCCAGCCTAGGCTACAGAGCAAGAACCTGTCCCTAATACAAACAAATTTTTAAATATTGCATTGAAGGAATAAGAATGAACCAATGGAAGGAAACAGAGGAATTTTTCAGAGAGACCAGCAGGAATCAAGACCCAGGTAAAGAGACCAGGGGCAGATCAGTGAAAAGGCTGAAACGGGAGGGGGCTTGAAAGGCGGGGCAGTTAGGAGGGAACAGGATGGGAACAACTTTGACTCCACTTGAAGGAGCATGGGCCACTTTTTGGAGGTGAGGAAGAGCCATTGAGTGGGTTTTTTTTTTTTTT